GTAGAAGCGACAACATGAAATGTTCTTTACTGTCATCATTTTTTTTTTCAAGTTAATTATATGGTTATCGTGAGAAATTTGCTATATACGGATTATCTGAAGTTTATTCCATTTCAGAATAACAACAACAACAAAAAGTGATGCTGTCCGTCAAATTGTTTCATAGTTTTTTCAATTTCATTGATAAAGCAGATAATCGGTTTCGGAACGAATAGAATGTTCTAGTGCTGGTGATGCTGCTGCCTGCTTCCGAATCAGCTTATTAATTGACGTCACAAACGATTAACGAACAACAACAAAAAATGTGTTTGGGGTGAATGACATGAATCACTAGCCTCTCTAATTAAAACAAAACGTTACTTTTAACTGAATAAATGAAAAATTGTGACTCGATCGCTTTTGTGATTTCGTGACAATGACGGATAACACAAAATGATTGTGATGCAATTGTTCTCTGTGCCGTTCTTGGCTAGAAATGAATATGACATTTGAGCTCACATTGCAAAAGATCGAAAGGAAAGAAATTGATTTGTGATTTTTAGTAAAATAACAACTCAATTTTATCTCATAATGAATTATTATTAACTTAATGCTCTTCTGATTTGATTGAATGGCAGTAGCAAAAATGCCACTACCCATTAGATACACGCGGCCGGATATTAAACGAAATCAGCTGATTTCAACACATATATGTGCCAATAAATTTGACAAGGCAATTGCCAAAATCGATTGCTATTTCAGTTCATCTAAAGGACAATCGAAGTCATTTGTAGTGATGAAACAAAATAAATGCATTTTTATTCGATGAAATAAGGCCGAGCACAACACAAGCAGAGGTCATTAAGATGCCACACGCACACACTCACATACACTTCATCACGAGATGTAAAAAGGCATGCGATTGATAAGGCATTCATTTGAAAGAAAAATTACAATTAACGATCAAATATAAACAGAGGAGAGATTTTGCATTTTCTCTTGTTGAACTTTTTAAAAACATAAAATGATTATGATTTGCGTCAATTGGCCCATTATCTTGCTATATGTTCAATCGAGCAAAACGTAAAAGCAATTAAAATGATGCGCAGTGCACACGAATAGGACATGCTGCATTGGCAATTATTAATCGGTACTTTGATTCGTTATTTTAGAATTCTTATCGATTTATTCTTATAGGTTGAACAAAAATCAATTGACAAACTTTTGTTATTGTATGGATTTTACAATACAATCACAATTACGTAAAGTGATTTAAATCAAATATTTATTTTGCATGACTGTACGTCAGTGATAAGAGAAAATTTAACATCAACCAATGAAAAAAAAAGTCCAAAATAAATATTGAGTTAAAGAAAATGTATGGCCAAACAAATGATGCAATTTTCATTGGTTAATTTCATAACATTGGACGTCAGAAGTTTCCAAAAAATCATTGATAGCGTCCATAGGAAAATTTACATCTTTATTTTGTTGTTTGATGAGCTTCAGTGGTGGTAACACTTCCGATTTAAAACAAAAACATATCATTTCAATTTTACTCTCACCGAATGGTTCTAGATAACGCGATTTCAAAATATGACTACGCAAAAGATTTTGTTATTTTGCTGAAAGCATCGAATTCCTATGAAAATGTTTGAACTAAAGACACATCGCGAAATCCGTTTTCATTCAGCACTTTTTTCCAGTCCCGATAAGCTTTTATCGGATATTTTATACTCTGACATTTTTTTTTGTTTGTTGCGTTTCAATCTAGGTTTCAATTGATAAACGTGATGTTGTCATTGCGTTGTTTTGCTTTAATTGAAATAATATAATTGGTATTGAATATTGATAAGATTGGTGTATGCATTTATATTACCGAATGAAATCTACGTAAATATATTTTGTCAATAATCATTAAAGTCACCAATAAATTAAAATAGAAAATGTCAATAAACATATGCCAAAATCTTCTTGACATTTGTGGTCACCGAGAATATATATATTTTGACATAACGTGATAAACCACGTGAGTGCACAAAAAATTGGCGAAGGAAAAAAAGAATGCGTATATAATAAATTGAATTTAAACGACCGATAAATGGCTCCATTTCATCTCCATAATTTGAATTCATACAATCACTGTCCAAAAATAAGTTGTTCACTATCGTATTGTGGAAAATTTAAATCGCCTCGAAATCAATGGCACTATGCGCATAAATTATCTTACAAGCGATACTGAATAGTGGCTAGTGATAGCATATATAAAAGTGTTATTCTGAATACATGTGCTACACATTTTTACCGGCAATATAAAATGCCGCACATCGTGTCTTTCATTTGTATATTGCTCGTGGACAATTTGAAATCATTAAAACTGAAAAAAAAAGACTGCTCAACAGATTTATTTCTTCCGTCGCATTTCATAAATCACTACTTGTCAAAGCAAAAAAAGCACTTGGAATGTACAAGTGAAAAAAACGACACGAGAACGAGACAACGTTGACGGCAACGACGAATATACCGTGCATCGTATCTATCTTGTGGCTAGAGAAAATTAATTAACGCTTTTTCCACGAATTATGTTTTATTTAGGAATTTTATTTAGGTCAGTTCGTCATGGAACAGCATCCGATGATTCAATGTTGAACGCGAGAAACCTTGAGATAATCGTTGACACGGAAAACTTTCTTATGTCATTCGTGCGCCCGATGAGGAAATTTCCTCGCCTTTAAAATCAAGTCGTTCGCATTGGAAGCGCATTACATTGAACGTGGTGGCCAACGTGCGTTTTATACACTTTGCCAGAAGGAGAAACAGTAGAGAATACGTGAATTCCCATTTGATTGACGTCTTAATTACGCATATTGACGCAATCATAACTTGATATACTTGGATTTTATAGATGCTGATCATAGCTAAGCGATGACTAACGCACATTAAACAATGTTGAAGTTTAAAAATGAAATCATTTTGTTAGATTTAAAAATTCAGTTTTTCTCTTTCACTTCTAATCGTTTTAAAACGCTTTTCAAGATTGTCACGTAATTGATCCTATCGGAGTTAGTCATTCGTGCTCGAACACATTTATGTCATTGTTGTGGATGGGTCGACATGACACAAAAACAAAAAAAAAGACGAAATACCAAACATGAGTTTTCATTCGGATGGAATGTGCACAGCGAAAGAAGGAGAGAGAGTGAGTGTGTGTGACGAGAGAGGGACGATCAATGTGCGATAGGTCACGTAGTTTGAAGTGCAGTCGTTGTCTTTAAGAAGTATGTAATAAATTCAATTAAAAATTGATATATCTGTAACCACTTTCGGCTTACAAATCATTGGAAATGTTTGTGCATTTCATTTGTTTTGTCTAAATGAACATCTATTGTTGCTAATCATTGTTTCATTTTCAATTGCTGATTAATCTTTTGAAGTAGAGCACAAAATTGATTTATATCACATGATTTTTGTTGTTCATTTCGTAAATTATTATTATTAGTAAATGAAAAGGCAAAATGCGTTCGGTTCATGTCCTACGTTTGTTTTTGTTTTGTGCAAGCACATCGAAATCCTTCACAATTCCATTCTAATTTGATTTGAAGCAATGATATTTTTTATCAGCGCATTTAATTTGCGTAACATCTTTGTTTATAGAATTTGTATTTGCCTCCAAATCGTATCGCCTATAATGATGATGATAACGCGCCAATGTAAATACGCCGTCTATTTGCTTATGCACGCAAACGATTTAATATTAAATATCAACAAAGTGAGAACGAGAAAGACAGACAGACGAAACAAAAGAAAACGCTGTATTTGATTATCGCTACGAGCTGGTCAATAGCACATAAATGTAATGGGAGATTTCTACAAAATACTATATGTCGATCTGTCACATAACTAACACAAAAAAATCATTTTGCGCGGCATAAATGAACATTATTTTTCAATCTGCGAAAAAAAAAAACTGTAATCAAACATTTTTGGAGTCAAAGAAAGCAAAAGTGCTTTGTCAATATTATTGACTCAATAAACACAAATACATAAACAATGCTCAGTGGGCACAAATGACGGTTTTTTTCAAAAAGTAGTGTATATTTTGGTGTATCCGCAATATTTTCGGTATATCACGAAATTTTTTCGAATTTTTGGTGTATCAATCTAGTGTATGAGATACACCGCTGAATTTTGGTGTATACATTTCACTAGACGTGGTGTATAACATAAACTCGCACTACTTTCTCGATTTATGGTGTATCCAAATGACTAAGTCCCAGCAGTGTAACGTATACACCACTTAGTGGTACATTATTTACACCAATATAATAACAGTGCATTGCATACACCAAATTGGTACCTCATATGCACCGGTGCATCAAATATATCGGTGTATATCTTTTACCGCTGCCATATTTTTATGATATTCTTCTTCTTATATGAAACAAAAATTGTAGCCATTTTTGCAGCATTGAAATTACTGAATTCATTTTAAATTTTTTCTATTGAAATATATATTTGAAACAGTATGATTCCAAGTTTTTTTGTTCAACAAAGTCATGAAAAATATTATTTTGAAGTATATCTTCAAATAATAAGGATAAAAAAATATTTATTTTGCTTGAATATGTTTTTTTATTTAAAATCACGAATTTTTCAGGCGCATGAATTTTAAGGGGGGTACCTTACAATTCCAACACGTAAAGTGTATTTCGTTTTAAATTTTATGATCTCATTTGCATGCAATTCGCGATTAAAAGTATTCAATTTTTATGTTATGACTATATTTCTTATAAAATATTTGCAAGAAGAACTTTGTTTAATGTCATCACATATCGTGTAATCAAAACACCAAAATATAAAGGTTCATTTTAAGTCGACTGAAATTAGGCAACCGCCTGATGGGTTAAAAAAAAGCTTCACTCATATTAACCGCCTCCATTCAAGATCGAATACGTAGATGCTTAATGGAATTGACATTTCCAATGTCATTATTTGTTTGTAATTGTCATCGTGATGTGAAATAATAACAAGCACTTGACATGACATTCGGCTAGAAAGCATTTTTGTTAAGATAAAGCCGCAGTTTTCATCCGAAGTTAAAATGAATAAGTTCAGATCGTTAAATATCCGGAAAATTCAATTTTCTTCCGATTTGCACAGCATTCGATTATTTTCAGCAACGAGTGCTTCCTACGACAAATTCAAGTGAGTGTAATTTGGATAGAAAAAAAGTGAATGTATCGATGAGATAAGTGTTTTAAAAATAAGGTTATAAAATAATTATGAATCATTGCTTGTTAGATGTAAAGCATTAGTCGTTGGTGGTGGTACGGCTGGCTGCTCAATTGCTGCAAAATTAGCATCTGTTTTCGGAAAGAATGAATGTATTATTTTGGAACCAGCGAATGATCATTATTATCAACCCATGTTCACCATGATCGGCGGTGGGATGAAAACACTTTCACAAGTACGGCGTAGCATGGCGTCTGTGCTACCAAAAAAAGCCAAATGGATTCAAGATGCGGCTGTAAGATTCGATCCAGATGATAATGAAGTAATTACCAAACAAGGCCATATTATTTCGTACGAATTGCTCATTATTGCTGTTGGCCTGCAATTATGCTATGGAAAGGTAAATTTGCAATTTGTTTTTTTTTTTTTAATATCGATCGAAAATGAATTTGTATTTGTGTATAGATTCCAGGTTTGGAAGAGGCTCTTTCGATTCCAAATGGAAATGTCACATCAATCTATTCACCAAAATACGTCGATCGACATTTGAATGCACTGAATCGTTTTGAAAATGGGAATATCATTTTTACATTTCCCGCATCGCCAGTTAAATGTATGATTGAGAAAAAAATTGGTCATTAATAAAAAATTCTTAGCTTGAAATTCCAAAAACTTGAATTTCAGGTCCAGGTGCGCCGCAAAAAATCTGCTATATTACCGAACATTTTTTACGAAAAACAAAGAAACGTGAACAGGCCCACATTATGTATAACTCATCACTTCCCACCATTTTTGGGTGTAAAGCTTATGCCGATGCTTTATGGAAAGTTGCTAACGGGCGGTCAATTGAGGTCAATCTAAAAACAAATTTGATTGAAGTGCATGGTGATAAGAATGTTGCCGTTTTTGCCAGCATGGACAATCCAAATGAAAAGAAATCCATTGAAGTAGGTTTATGGGATTTTTTTTTTAATTAAAAAAGACAAGTGTTTACATTAAGTTGAAAAATATCATTCACAGTATTCCATTCTCCATGCTGTTCCACCGCAAAGTCCACCACAAGTTTTGCTCGAATCAAAACATCTTACAAATGAAGCTGGATTTGTTGATGTTGATAAAGCAACAATGCAACATGTTAAATATCCAAATGTATTTGCTCTTGGTGATTGTGCATCAAGTCCGAATTCCAAAACTATGGCAGCTATTGGTAATAATTTCTCATTTAATATTGCTCTTTCTTCTATTTATTTGTCGTTTATCATTACAGCGGGACAGGTTGGTGTTTTGAATAAAAACATTGAAAGCTTTTTAAAAGGAAAACCTCTACGCTCAGAGTACGATGGATATGCTTCGTGTCCGTTAGTCACTGGCTACGACTCGTGTATACTGGCGGAATTTGATTATAATCTTCAGCCGAAAGAGACGTTTCCATTTCGGCAAGATGTCGAACGTTATTCAATGTTTTTGATGAAACGTGATTTTATGCCGTTTTTATATTGGCATCTCATGCTAAATGGATGGTGGAATGGACCGGCTTCCTTTCGGAAACTTTTTTCTCTTTTTAAACGTAATTAAGTCCGAAATAAAGTAAATCAGTGAAAAGAGAAAATACATTCAGTCGAAAAAAAGGCAAATACTTCTTGAATTTTAATTTGAGATGCGTAGTTCAATATGGAAAATATCGATTACCATTAAACTGAATATTACTCTTTTACCAAAAAAATACCAAACTAAATGTTGATAATAAAAGAAGTTTATATTTGATTGAAAAATGTCTGCACATTATTTAGTTAAACTATCTTAATTTGACTCAATTCGAAATGATCGTGTTTGCTTAACGTCTCTCATTCATTGGTACATGGTTGCATCAATGTAAACGATAAAAATGATTACATCTACATCACATCATCACTACGTTCACGTTCTATATGGGCAGCTGAGATTGTACTTCAGAGAGATTTGGACGTAGCACTTGGAAAACATAGAAAAATGAAGCTTCTTTTGTTTGTTGCCTTAATCTGCATTTCCTGTAAACATGTGAGTTTACAACAACAACAGCAAGGAGGGAATTTGTCGAAACAAGAGCTAATCCGAATAATAGACGAACAATTGGAACTTCTATTAAAACAAAAAGAGGCTTCAAAAGAGGTTTGATTATAATAAAAATTAAAATATTCACAGAACAAATTTTTGATTTTCCTACTAGGTTCTTGAAGTCACTTTCTAATAACAAAAAAGATGAATTGATATGTTTCAAAGAGACTTATTTATCAAAGAGAGGACAAATTGAGAATGAGTGGAGAGGGGAATCGGATATAGTATCGAGACTCCGCAGAGAACTAGGGAAATGGAAAAATATTAGTTCGCAAGTAATAGAAGACATGTCAGAATGTTTTTTGCATTTTATTAATAATACTGTAGTCCGTTATACTATTAAAAGGGTAAGTGATTTTATAAAAAAATGCAATAATCTATTGTCTTACTTCATGTCAAGTGTCCAACATTTCAGTTGTTTACCCAATTAAGCACATGGCAAGCTAATGATTTTATTCTGAATGCAACATACGTGGAACAAAAACTGAGAGATCTTACAACAGATCAGGTGAAGTACAGAGGTCGCAACGGGGCCCCGACCCGAACACCCGACCGACGACCACCCGAGCCCGACCCGAAAAAATTCGGGGTCGGGCGGGATTCGGGCTGGCTATTTCGGATCTTCGGATATTTCGGTATTTTCGGTATTTTCGGACTTTTTGAAAAATATGATTTTTCGGAAGAAATTTAAAATTCGGTAGTACGGGATTTCATTATTTTTCGGTATCAGGTGTGCCCGAAGATCGAAAATTATTCATTTAATATGTAACATTTGTCAAAAGACAAGTTAAAAAAGATTTTACCCGAAATGCATCAATATTTTTTTCTAATGCTCTTTCATGATTTTTTCAAAAAAAATATACAGGGTATCTCATATATCAGGCTCACTATCAGGGCGTGCCAAGTTTTTTGAAATTCGCACGAATGCTCTTTCACGATTTTTTCAATATGTCTCTTTCATGTTCTATGTTGAATAATAATATTAAATGAATTTGCACATAAATAAACGTAAATAGTATTTATTTGAGTTTTTTGTAGTATAAATTAAAACAATTCTTTCAACAATTTTATTTTAAATCAATAATTTTACGATCTTCAAATATTTCGGTTTTTATTGAGAAATGTTAACATATCCAACACGTAATTATCTATTCGGGATCGTTTATTTGTTAACACACAATTACTGATGCTAAACATTCTTTCAACGAACTGAAGTATACATATTTTCGTGAAGATTTTAACGAATGTCTCGAACTGTTTGAAACGGATCTATCCAAGAAACTGACTCCAGACACTGTTTCCCAAATAATCAGTTTTTATCGTTTGATGTATGGAAACCAAACACAGATTGAAACTTCTTTGGTAAGAGTTTATTGACGAAAAGCTGTTATCAAACGTATCGCGTAGACATCTCATAGAATTTATCCCATTTTGATTTTCAGGCTTATTTCTATGGTTCGTCAACGATTGCAACAACGATTGACGTTCCCTTTGAAATGGAGGGCACCACTATCGACTCAAAGAGACTTAAACTCTCTACATTGCTGTTGACATTTGAACCGCTGTATTTACCAATAGTTTATTAAATGTTTGTTTCATTTTGATTGATTTTGATATATTTAGTGTTGATTTATTTGATGATTTTTTTAATGTGTTCTAAATAAATACAGGCATTATTTTTGATTCACTTCTAAAATTGTTTTTTTTATTTGTTCATCTATTTGCATGTCCATTTTAATGCAGTTTGGATAAGGAATCCAATGTCCCTGTGTACTCTGCATTTTCGTATAATTCCACCCAAAATGTTGTCTTATAGACAGATATTACAATCGTTTCGGAAACTTTTTTTTCTTTTTAAGTCTAAAATTAAGTCTTACATCATGAACTTTAAACAATGTATCAATAAAGTTATATATATAAATCAGAGACATATCAGTCGAATAAAGTGTTTTTTATAACGAAAAACTCGTTCATACACATCACATGTTGAAATTCAATAAAAAAAACTATTAAGTATGATCAATGGTTGTTGGTGCTGTTGGTTCTGTTATTGAATAAGTTGGGGAATTGCGATAGATTTCGTATTTCTCCTGTGGTCAAAGCTTTTTATAGCGTCTCGTAGTTGATGAGTGTGCCCTCTCGGAATATCTGACATAACTAAAACAATGCGATCATATACACAACCACAACGAGGTCTGTTTCGTTATCAATTCGGATTGCTGGTTGGTGACATTCATTTTTAAACAATTTTTCACATTTTGAAACAAAAAGAATTTGAAGCAAATAAAAAAAACAATAGTCGAAATTGAAATTACGTGATGGTATGTGTTTTCTCCATCACATTGAATTCGATGAGAATCGAGTGGTGTTCAAGGACTGTTTTGTTATTTTCGTCATTTGAAAATTTATTGATTTCTTTGACGACTCTTCTCGTAATCATTTAGCAGGCGAGCCATAAATCTACATTATGTCGGTCACAAATATTAATTCTCTTCGCTTTGTGTGTTGAATGCCCTTGCCTAAACACACATTTTACATACATATTCCACAATGAGCATTGAGACACGATATCATCACACAATCGCGCAATTTCATTAGGTCGGTGGAAAAAGAAAGAGAAAAATTAAAGAGAGATATCATAATTGTGACAAATGATCCAAATGAACTGTGCAATCCAAAAGCATTTCCAAATGTGTGAATGTTTCAACGCCAAACAATTACCAACTAATTCCGTTTTGTGAAGATTGTATTTCCATCACATAAAATATGATTGTCTGAATTTCTGAATCTGAACCCCATTTGTTTTTGGTTGCTGTTGTTGCCTTTTTTGTTCGGAGAGTGCAGATAAATTATTGGCTAATTAGCCGAACGAAAGAAGAGAAAAAAAATAGTTTGTCTGAATCACTGTGCATAAGAAACGAGTGAATTTTAAATGCTTACGTCAGTTTGTGATGCTTTTTTTCTCTCTCTTGAGAGCACTATTGCTTTTTTTACCGAATGCAGATAAACTTTTTTAGCGTATGTAAAATAGAATTCCATATACACTTACGGTGTTTTACATCAGTGCTAAAAATGAACGAATGAAAAATGTGTGCAAATATACAATCGCTGGTATTTAAACAAATATAAATTCGAAATGAGGGGAAGAGAGAAAGAGAGTGAGACAACGAAACGAAACAAAAAAAAACATTGAAGACTAAACTAAAGGCAAATAATAATTTTTGTGCTCGCGTACGCGTACACATATTTACTTTTGAATCAGATAGTCGTGGAGCTTGTTTTTTTTTCATTGGTTCTATACTGTTCAACAACTCCAAGATAGCAATAACTCTTTGTACAAATTGTTGTCTTTTTTATTCGTCAAACTACGAATGAGATATTACAATCGTAAGTTGTCTTCTTTCAACAAAAAAAAAACCGAATCCATAGAATTTAGTACATGCACAAATGCGAAGCATTTATTCAATCGTTTAATATATTGCTGTAGGCATGAAATATGTGCGCGCGCGAGATATCCGAACTGAACTTTTGTAAAAAGCCAGGCATATACATAGCATACGCTTATGACCATGTATCATTTGAGGTTTAGATAAAATAAAAACGCGCACACACACTTACATAAGAAACTATATTCTTTATCATTCTTGTGTATATGATTGGCAGGAAATATTTGTGTGTGTGTATTTGTATATAGTAACTTCTATTTATCCATGAAATATGCTAATTTAGTGACCTTGCTGCTTGATTGGTGGCTTTTTTCCGTCGTACAACTCTTTTTATCGTTCAGGCACTAAATGCTAGGACCGCAGGGTAATTGTCAACACAAATGCGATTCTTGACAAGAAGCACGTTTGATCGACAACGATAACGACATCGCTTATTATCACACGATCTGAAACAAGTGATGTTAAGATTGTGTGAGAGAGTATTCAACTAAAACCAGCATTTGAAAAACGTGTTGATTCGAACACAAATATAAAAAAAATTGATTTGATTACAATAAACAGTCATCAGTTGAGGATTCTATTGCGTCGTTTTCTTAAAACAAACAATAAAAGTGTGGCGATCCAACATGTGTATGGTATGCGAAAACTTAAAAGGATGTTCGAAGTAATGGGTGTCATTTTTATGATGAAGTGAGCACAACTTGTACGCACTGGCAATGTTTTCGGGGAAATGAAACACACTTGAGGCAAATCATGTTTATTTATTTTTTGCATTCACATATTCAAAACCCAAGCAGTAAATAATATCGATGAAATGTCAGACACTCGAGCGAATGAAACGTGAATTCAAATTGCGTCGATTGCCTCTATGACTTGAAATTGTTGCTCCTTTGGCTCTTTAAATGTTACAGTTAGACGAATTAAAGGCGAAGAAGAGGAACATGATAAAAACGAAGATGAAAATGTTCATTTACAGTAGAACGTTGCGTGTGTTGGTGTGTGATATTTAAAACACAAAATTGTAGATGTTACAGAATCCATTGACTGTGAAAAAATTTGGCTCCACTTGGTAATTTTTCGAATGTGAACCGATCGAGCGGGGTAGCAACAACATTTTTTTTCAGCTCGATATAACAAAAAAATCGACCAAAATGAAAAAAATTAAAACATCCAATCGTTTTATTTTTGGCTTTGTGAAGTACTCAATTTTAATGCTTGATATTTTTATCGAA